CCTGAGGAGAGGAAAGCTCCTGCAAGATGTGACAATCTCCCCCACCAGTTGAAGAGCCCCCCAGGTGGCTCGAGGCACCCTGCTCCAGGGCTGGGCCCCCATGCACCCACCCGCCCACAACCCCGGCAACACACCAACCAGGACCCAAGCCCCCGAGTGAATGAATGCCACTTCAAGTACCTGGTGCTAACAGTCAGTATTGAGTGATTTTTTTTTATGCTTAAAAATGAGGGATGTGCCATGGTTCATGTTTGTAGTGAGAGATCTGCTACCACAGGCCCTCTCACTCTATGGTAGGCTGCCCTGCGACAGACTGGCAACCTGTCCAGAGAGGCAAACAACCATTCACACCCAATGGGCAATTTGAAATCACAAATTAACCTCACCACTGCATGTTGTTGAAGTGTCTCACAAGCAGACACAAGGACAACCAGATATCCACCAGATGCTGGATTTGAAGCCTTCTTGCTATGAGGCAAGTGCTAGCAACTGTGCTGCCTTTTCATGATTGTTAATATGCAAACTGTCATGGCCTCCAATCAAGAGAGGTGGGGAATGGTTGCAATCTCAGCATTGTAAGATTGTGAAAATGTACACTCAACCACCCGCTGAACAACAAACATTAGTATACTTTAGTTTGTTAAGCAAGATTTTTCATAGCATAACCTCATGTAAACTGAAAAATTAATTAATGCAAGCTTTAAATTCTCTAGTTTATCAAGTGTCACTGAGAGTGGTTACCTTTAAATATAACATCTCTTATTCCTCCCCTCTCCTCTTTCTCACATATTTTTCCATCTCTGAATGAAACTATTTCACATTCTTTACTCTCCATGAAAATACAGCAGCTGGATCTTTAGACTCACTACTTAACAACCTGCACAGAAACAATTTGTGTGTTTGCTGATACTTGTTGAACTGTGAAAAACTACTTGCCACTTTGTGTCCACTCCTCATATGCAACACTAGCTACATATTGAAGTGTCATAACTACAACTTAGGGAAATCTGCACAACATTAGATCTGCTCCACTTTAACCCTTCAGTATGGAGCTATAACTCATAAATTAGATTTTTCTTTGTGCTTTCTTCATCTTTTCAAATGTGACAAATAGCAGTGATGGATACACCAATAGGTCTGTCGTTAATGACTTGTAGTTCCCTCCATTTAGATTTAAAATCAGTTTGATGTTTTCAGGGGTGTAGTGACGGGTGTGACGGTCCTGGGTTATTTGACCCAATGTTTGGAGTTTTCTTATGATATTCATTGTTTATGTTTAAGTCTTATTTAGTTATCTAAGCTCACTTCTATTATGCTTAGGTTGCTGTTATAGTTCATTGTTTCTTAGATCTCCCTTTGTGTTATCAATCCCTGTGTGTAAGTCTCTCTCGTCGGTTCATCATTTTAAGTCTGTGTGTCTTAACCTGTAACATTTCATTTCTGCGTGTCCTATGTTGTCAAGCTCATGTCATGTATGTGTCCCGTTTTGTTTTCTGTTTTATTTTGAAGAGCTCTGGTGTCCCATGTTCATTGTGTTTAGTTTCACTTCCCCTGTGGCACCATTATGTTCATTCTAATCAGCTGTTTCTCCATGTGTTTCCACTTCCCCTGATCACCTCCTGTGTACATTTAGTCTGTGTGTTTTCATTCATTCCTCGTCTGATCTTCAGCTATTCTGCAATGCTCGTGCCATGTTTTCCTGGATTTTCATACACTCAAGTCTTCACATTTTAGGTTTTTTATGTCAGATTTACATTTACATGTCCATGTCTATGTCCATCTTCAGGGTTTTTTATGTTTGGCAAGTTCACCCAGTGAAGCTTAATGTTTAATTTTGCTGTTGCTTCTTGTTTTGTCCAGTTAAAACCAGCCTTTAATAAATAGCTCGCGTTCAGTTAATATTAAGTTCATTTCCAAGCATTGTTTTGTGTGCATTTGGGTCCTCTATTCTCCACTCCACACAGCCTGCACCTGCTGACTGTGACAACAGGAAATATTAGGTCCCCTCAGATTTGTTAAACCTAAAGTCATGAGCCTTTTTTGAAAATGTCAGAAAGAGTTGTGTTAGGATGACAGGAGTAAAAGTAAAAAGTTGCCAGTACAAATAAAAAAGTCAACTTAAGTGCTGTAAAGAAATATTGGTTCTTTGTCCATTTACTCTACTGCAGATCAAGCAGCAAAACTGCTAAAACTTTGACCTCTTACCTGCATTTCAATCCTGGTTTTTCCACGTAACAGTGATTGTGTTGCAGCACAAGTGCACACCTTTGTGCTGCTTTTCGATTGCTGTGAACTTGGATGTCCTTCTCTTTGATCAGGTCACACTTGTAATGCATGACAATGACATTGTGGGCAGCACGTTGACATTCTGCTGTGACTTTCTGAAACCAGAAAGAAAAAAGATTATAGACTTCAAGATCCACTTTGTGTTTTTAGCACTGTATGTGTATGAATCTGCAAATCCATTTAGCTGATTGTGAAGGTCTGGGGTGGGAACTTTTCCTAGATTTGACTGATTTATGTGAAGAAATTGCTGTTTCAGTACATGGGAGAAATTACGCAAAGGTGAACTGTGTGTGCGGAATAAACACAAAGTTTTGCGCACCATTTATTAACAATGAACTTTTGCCAAAAGTCAGATTTCCAGTATGAATAGAGGGTGTGCTTTATAAAGATTGATTAACATTTAGATAAATTGCCTGTCCAAACCTCTCTGTTTTATATAACCATGACAAAGCTAAAAAAAAAAAAAAAAGAAAAAGAAAAATCATGATATTTAATCACAAATAACACTTAAATAACTTTTGGCAAAAGTTCATTGACTTCTGGGGGCAGAAGTCAATGAACAGAAGTCAGTCTGCCCCAGGGCAGCTGTGGCTACAACTCCACCAGTGTGTGAATGGGTGGATGACTGGGTGTGTAAAGTGCTTTGGGGGGACTAGTAAAAGTGCTATACAAATACAGGCCATTTACTGTATGAAAGCAGTGAAGCTCTGTCGCTGGGATAAAACAATTAATTTCATCTTGTTGGATATAATGCCCACACTCATATTTTTGTATTTACAATCTTAAAGTAAGATGAGTACATCTTCTGAGTATAAATGTAGTAAGGACATAACATGGCCCTCTATATTACTAGAGAGGACGACATGGTGTTACTTGTCAAAGAGATTGAAGACACACACTCACACTGGTGACATCCTCCAGAGTCCATTCTGAAAATAAAACATGACAAAATAAAAAGAAGCAAGTAAATGGATGGAAATCAGATTGAGGGTCATGTGGCAAATTTAAATCATGTCAATGTTCCATAACCAGTGTACTGGACTAAACTAATAATTCTGTCCAACAATTATGATGGTGACCTTTTCCACAGAGAGATTTACAGTGTGAGTAAAAGACAGGTATAAGTGGTTACGACACAGCTACAAGATGCAGCGATTTAGAGTCTCCATTTCACCTTGGGTCGAAAGTGCAGACTTCAAACTATATACCAGTTTTTGAATTGTGTCGATGGGCCACGTAAAACCAGGGTTATGATAAAAAATACACGCGATGTTTTTTTTCTGAACAAAACAGTAGTGTTTACAGCGGGAAGAAGGTAAAACGGGGTTTTCTACAGACAGCGCTAGCAAACACTCTCCGCTTGCGAGTGAAAAAAGAAAGAGAAAAAACACCCCTTCCTGTTAGAGTTTACCATGTCAGCCAATCAAAAAAATGATATGGCAACATGTGGCACTTGGTTGTTTAGGGAGAAGAGGAAGTTTTTAGGAGAGACACCCGCGACGGAAAGCGGGCGAGCGAAAGAAAGGGAGAAAGCGAGTTTTCATATGTGAGACATTAGTGACCTTTAGCGTGTTTGGAGGCTATAGTTAGTTTGTTGTGTAGTTATTGTGTTGTATTATGTGTCAGTTGTACTGCTAAATGTCACATTTTCTCCAAAAAATGCCGTCAAAGGCAGATTGCAGTGTAAACGCTGTTCCCACATGGAAAACTGCACCTCCTGCTGTCAGACCTACAGGGTTTAGGCCTTTGGTGTTCTCCTCTGTCTTATACTGAACACAAACTACATTTTTTGGACTGGCACAAATAATTTGTGTGCCTTCTTATTTGATGCAGCACACCTGATTGTTCTGTAAATAGATTTAAATGGTTATATAAAAAACGCCTGATGCCTTGGCTGCATGTTTAGGTAAATAGTACCATATAACTTTGTTGTTTGCAAAACATGTGCATAATTTTTAAAAATATACAATTTCTATTTGCATTTCAAGTTATGAAAATGATTCGTTAAACATGTTTGTGGGTTTTACAGTAAAAAATATAACTTTTTTCTACTCGGATTTTGAATTTTTTGTCTTAATTTAGATCAACTGTGCTAATATAGTATACTAAAATGAAAAAATAACTCAAATTTCAGATATTTGAGGTTATGCTGAAAATAATGGTACCAAACAAGGCAAGAAAAACATATTTTAAAGGTGAAATATAGAGGTAAAATCAAAAGTAGTCAAAAATGGCCAATTATACCCTGGACCCCAGAGGGTTAAAGACCT